TTTTTTTTTGTCTTTGGGTTCCTCATCATCTTCATTTTGCTCCCCTCTAAAGTAGTGTATTTGGCTGACACGCTGGCCGCTGCTCTCTTTCGTGCTGCTGGCAACTGCGTGGTGCGTGGCCGCTCTCCTCGACAGCCTGCCTCACCAGAACCCGCCGGCGCCAGCGCGGTAGCGGTTGGCCTGCCCGCGGAACGTGTCGCCGCTGTACGTGGCAAAACCGCCAAAGCCACCCGAGCGCGTCAGGCGTTCACGGTCTAACTTGAGGTCGTACTCACGCCGCTTCACAGGGTCGATAAGGGTTGTGTGAGCCTCGCCGATGATTTTAAACTTTCGCTCCGCGTGCACACGCTCATTTTCTGGAAGTGATATGCACTTGTCTGGGTGCCAACGAAGAGACAGCTCGCGATACTTCAGTTTAATTTCACGTTCGCTGCAGTTACGACTCACACCAAGAACGTAGTAGTAGTCCTTCTCACGTTCAGCTTCCTTCGCCATGTTGTGCTCGCAGTTGCGCAGCTCGCGCACCAGCTCATGGTCGCTCGGATCGTATTGTATCGCACTCTTGAAGTCTCGAATGGCCGCTGGGAAGTCATTCAGCTGCTGCTGGCAACGTGCACGTCGGGCATACGCCTTGGAAAACTCCGGGTCCAAATGAATGGCCTTTGTACAGTCATCAATGCCCTCGCGGTACCTTCCCAATTCCTTGTGAGCAGCAGCACGGTTGCAATACAAGATACGCAGGATTTGATGGTTGTTCTCCGAAGCGTTAATAGCATCCGTGTAGTGCTCCACAGCTGCCGCAAACTTCTTCTGTTGAAAAAGACTGTTTCCCTTTTGCTTGCCCTCATCCACGATATTGATTAGCCTCAGCAGGTTGGCACAACTTTCATCTAGCTGCTGCACATCCACAAGACAGGCGCGTGCCTTTTCAAAATGTTCAAAGCCAGAAAGATACAAGCAATTCGCCACCAAGTGCCACAGCCTTGGTGTCCTTCGAGAAGGTGACACCACTTCCAATGCCTCTACCGCTCTTAAATAACGTTTCTGCTTCATCAATGATTCAGCATAGCGCAACCGAAAAGGAATGGCATCGCTGAACTGAGCAACCAGCATGAGCCAATTTTCGTCGCCTTCCGGCGTTCCAAATGCCCGCTCGGCACGCTGATACAATTCAAGTCCCCCCTTATACCGCTTCTTCTCACTGAGAATGGCATCTACAAGCAGGTGTTCCGGAATAGTGTCCATAATGCCAACAGCACGGGCGAGATCACCCATGACAGCTGCAGCCTTTGCTGCCCGTGTATAAGTCTTAACATTCTCAGGCTCCAATTCTATTGCTTTCATGCAGTCTGATATGCAGTCGTTGTAGCGCTGTGCCATAAAGTACGCAGAGCTCCGATTCCCATACAAGGCGCTGAGTCGTGTCAGACGGTCAAGAGGTTGTTGTTCAATGGCTTTGGAGTAAAGCTCTAGCGCCATGGTGTACTCTGCCCGTTCATACATAGTATCCGCTTCCTTCTTAAGTGATTTGCTGCTCACGCGGCTGCGGACCTGAATATTCCTCATGGTGGCAGTGTACTTCTTCATGAGCTCCAATCGTTCACTTGCCTCGCCAGTTTCTATCCTATCACGTCGATACGTCTCGCCATCCTCTAGCCCACGGAGTTCCTGGTGAAGACCAATAGCTTTTGCCGTTTTCGCCGACGCCGCCGCCGCTGCTGCTGCTGCTGCTGCTGAGGCCGATGCCGCCTTGACTGTGTCGGCAGTCGCATGTGGATCGACGTGTTTTGTCACATCGCCGCTCGGAACGGCCGCGGTGCGTTTGACGCGGACGACCCGGCGTGCAGCGATGGAGTCGTCAACAACCCGGTTGGACCCCCCCGGCTCTGGAGACGTGTTCGCCATGGCCCGCTGCTGGCTCCGCCGCGTCTCGTACAGCTCCTCGAACGCCTGCGCCACCCCGTGGGGGAGCTCCACCATGGCATCAGTGGAAACGCGCCGCGAGAGAGTACAACGCCTACATGCCAAAATGACATTCGGCAAAATTTGCACGGGATCTATCACGATCTTGTGGCAGAGATCGCACAGAAAGTAGGTGGACAAAAACTTTTGAAGCCACATGGCGCTCGGGGGTTCTACGCAGATGTGAGCGTTGTTCGCTTGAACACCGGCACTTTCTTCGCTTGTTGCATCAGCCAGCGTGTGGTGCTTCGGTGGTGAGTTCATATATGACGCGAACGATGATGAGGACGATGACATTGCGGCTTGGGGTATCTCTTCTCTGCGCCCTGCCTCCATCTGGATGTATACACTGCAGTATACAACAGCAAACTCACTTCTACTGTAGCAAACAAGGAACCAGCACACGACGACCTAAACCTCAAAATGGCAATTGCAGCTGATGCGTAGGTTTGCTCTTCCCGTCAAATACTCCTATGTGCGTACAAAGCAAATAGTGCCAAACGAAAAACCAACAATAACAACACCAACAATCATGGAAACATATGGAGCAGAGATTTGAAACAGAAAAGGTATTGAGGATTATTTTCTTGGGTAACTCATTGAGAGAAACATGTGCAAGGGGCCCTATGCACAATCAATGGAAAAGACAATGGTTCGGATGGTCATAGCTAGCAGAGAGATGCAAATATACACCGATCACTTCACTTCATTCGCGTATTTTCTTCTTTTGGATTATGCATCAAGTTGTTTTCGGTGCTTTCTCTCTTCAGACACACACACACACACACACATATATATATATATATATATGCATGTTTTGTGGTCCTTTTTTTCTTTTTCCCGCAAGTCAAATGTTCAACCCCACATATTTATCCTTCAGAGATCGTCTTCGCTTTTAAAGCGCGCGCATTCTGCACGCAGTCTCGGTTTTGATTTTTTTCCCACACATTCCTTGCACTTGTAACCGCGATGGCGCCGCACCATACCTGGCACGTTGTATCTACCACAGACAACACACAATGGGGAGAAGTCAGTCGACGGAAAACGCGCGTCCGTCGAGTCAAAGGAAGATTGGAAGCTAGGAGCCATGGACACATTCTCCAGGATAGGCTTGGGCGAAACTGGCACCAGGTACTCCACCGGGATAGACATGGACAGGGGATACCGATACCCAGCCGGTGATAACTGTTTAGGACGAAACTGCAGCAGAACAAGGTTTTGACCTGTATATCGCACCGCCACGCCGTCTAGCTTTCCATCACACACTTCGTCCATAGCAGAGCACCAGTAACTGTCCGTGAGGTGCTCACGAAGAGACGAACTTGACGCAACAATACGATACGATTCACCCGGTGTCACAAGAGATTCCATCACAAAAGGACCTCTCTCCATACGGCTTGTCATTTCAGGGTGGTCGTAGTGGTGAAACTGGCGACACCTGTTGAAGTTGCGGTAAGCCCACAACAATCCAATGTTGGAAACTAGCAAACACTTTTTTTTTCTCCTAACGCCCTTGTTGCTGTACCTCGAGGAAATATGCACCTTGCACTACTCTGTACAACAGTGCATCAAGAGTGGTGTAAGAGAAACGGATCGTTATCTGCTTCTGGAACAAACAAAATGGTCAACGCAGCTGTGGATTTTGTGCGCGAGTGAGTTTGAAGAAGAGTAAGAAAAAGAAAAGAGTAAGGAACTAACAAAAAAAGAGACGTTATTCCCTCCTTCATTACTCCCACTCCTCGCCCATTTGGTGCCCGCCATCTTCCCTCGGAGTCTTCGCGGAGACGCCTTCCTATACCACAGAAACTCAGCTCTCTAGGCCCTCAATGAAGACAAGCAGAGGCTCAGCGAAGTCGAACGTGCGCAAGAGATTCTTCGTGGACGTCCAAAAGTACGGTGTCCGCCGCAGTATCTGCACACCCTCCACCTCACCCAGTGTAGCTGCAAGAACATAAATCATGTTCTTTACCGTTTCTTGGATTGCTTCGCGCAAAGCCGCCTCATCCTCCGCCACGCCAATCGTCTTTGCCGACTCCTTCGGGTCGCGTGTGGTACCCTCTGCATCGGCCAAGACACCGTCAGTGGGCGCGGTGTAGAGTGCATAAAGGGTTCCTAGTATGCGCTGCCACAACTCCTGTAGTATCTCGGGTGTCTCACTCAGGGACTTCATGTAATGCAGGAACACCTTCGGCAAAAGGCCTACAATACGGCATTTCAAATCAATTGTCACTAAACGAGCGTCCTTTGTTATGCCTGGTGCGCGGACAGCATTATTCGACGTTACAGCCCGCCTTGACGGCGGCAATGGGGCCAGTGGGCTAAAGAGGCTTGTCACAAACGACTGCATTGCCGGTGTATTGACAGATACGCCAGAAGGCGGTTTAGCGCCTTGGGGTGGAGAAATTCTTGACGAAGATGATGATGAAGACGGTGCACACATTTGCTCGGTGAGAGGAAAAATGGCATCCTCGTAAAGGGCCGCAACTGCTGTTGCTGGTAGATGCTTGATTTCTGAGTCCAGAAGACAGCGCTGCAAGCAAAGAAGAGCATCGCTTCGATCGCGGTACGGACGTGACAGCACAACTAGACCGCACAGGCCACGAAGAGAGGCAATCCACGGCCGATACCAATCTGTTCCTACGGCATAGACGGCTCCTTTGTTGTGGGTCGCAGCGAGACGGCGGCACACCAATGTTATCATGTCCGCAAAGCTCTCCAGAGGCCCTTTTTGAAGCAACTCACTCGGCAGTAACCCAGAAGCAGCTACTGCACTAGAAGTAGAAGTAGCAGCAGCAGCGGCAGGAGGAGGAGGAACAGAGGGCGATATAGCTGCGTCTACACTGGGTGCCTCCAATGCGCATGCCACCAAGGCGTTCACAACGCTCTCACTGTCATCCAAAGGATCGTACAAGCCTCGTGTCACGAGAGCTGCAAAAGCCTTTCTTGTTCGCCATTGCACGAGTGGATTGTCACAAGTGGTGATGGTCACGCATAATGCATTTAAAAGCCCCTCTAAAAGCCCATGCGGCGGTATATGAGTAAGATAATGTGGCTCCACGAGAAACTCCATCAAGGCACTGGAAAGTGTGGGAGCCACAGCAGCGTTGAACGCCTTGACAGGTGCGGTGGTTAAAAGACTGAGAATCTGCAATGCCACATCACGAGACAACGCATTACACGCAAAATGTTTTATTGCCCGAACTACAGCTCCAACCACACGAGCCGCTACCAATTGCCAATAAGTGTAAGCATCGGCACTCATCGGGTGCCCAAGCTCCACAAGAGAAAAATCATCATCGACAGGACCATGGGCTTTGCTAGCACCAATGCTGCTGCTGCTGCTACTCGAGTTTGCGTACTTGGGCTGCTCGAAAACCGCGAAGACACTTGATGTCACCTGCTGACAGAACTTCGCGTAGCGATCCACCACGACACTATCGCCAAGACGGCGTACCGCAACCTCAGTAACAAGAATCATTGTATACGAAGCCGCATAGCTCTTGGCCGTCGTCCTTGTCTTAAGTGCTCCTTCGTCACACAAAGCGCGGGTAAACTGTTGGTGTGGCCTTTCTGCGAGGCTGTCAATCATGAGCAGGAACTCTTCAATCGTTGGAAGAATCGCTTTAACTCGGTCCATCGCCCGTCGCTCTTCGCTTTCCTGCGCCCTGGCGCGTTCGGGTGAGGTGGAGGAGACCCACAGGGCCGCAAACCAGCCAACCTCCGATTGCGCACGCCTTGCTCCCGAAACAACAATGCCTGGGTTGCCGCACAACTCCTCCCATAGCTCCGTAGTTTCCGGGGTCGCCTTTGGGTCTTTGGCAAACATGCCCAACAAGAAAAGTTTGCAGAACAAGTGTCCCAACGCCTCCCATGAATCCATCACAACAGGCAGGCACTCCTTGAGCAAATGAAGCAACTTTTCTAAACAGCGCAGTGGGAAGCGCTGCCCACCAAGGCGAACCAGCGAACCGTGTGGATCCTTCATATCAAGCGGAACCTGAGAGAGTATCACAAGGATGACACGGTCAACAGCGGAAGCAAGGCCAAAATGCGCAGCCGCCCTTGCTAAATGGCACAGGCCGTCAAGGGCGCTGTTACACGCATTTTCAGCTGTGGACAATGTGGCTTCGCTGTTTGAGCTGTCTCCATTCGTATATCCTTCCCCTTCTGTAGCATCATATTCAAGAAGGGGTCTGCAACTCTCCAGTGTGTTGGAGTACACCGTGAGACCATATTTCCACACAGCACGGAATATGAATGGATGTAAAGCCTGTATAAAACCCAATTCCGAATTATTTGATGATGTTGATTGCATGGAGCACCCTAAAATGGCATCCCGCCGCACTGTGCCCACAGGCAACCCATGCTCTTGCATTTCCAATGACCATGTGACGTCGTTTGTAAATCCCGCGTTGATCATCTCAGCCATGATAATAGGATGCAACTTAACGTCGTCAAACAGATGATTCAAATACTCCTCTGGGAGACTATTGCCACCATCGCTGTCTCGGTGTACACGGCGAAAATCCTCTTGTGTCATTGGTTTGTTCATCTTGCCCGAATGCTGGTCCGTGTTGAGCATAATCAATGAGAAGGCCAGAATAAAAGGGCCCTGCTCGCTACAGAACGGGTTGATTTCCTTCCCTACATCATGATTGCTACTGGCCCACATTTTTGCAAATGCCTCCATAACACGATCAATTTTTTGGGCCTCTCCCGGCATGCACATACGATACGCCGTCTCGCGGATGCATGACAAGAGTGACTTGTTGCGGTAGTTGAATCCACCCAGAAATCCTTTCAGTTGCTCTTCGTAGAAGCGAACAGTTCCAGCCTTTAGATGGTCTTTCGCACGCTCTGCCTCCCATGTCGCAAGCGCCGCAGCGTAGTCAGGTGTATTCTCTGGACTTGGCGCTGCCGGCTCGCGCCCCAGGTCGCCAAGGTAGTCGCCCAGTGCGCGCTTGTCAAGTATGTCGCTGAGGCGGAAAAGACAGGCACCCACTTCACGACCACCGGCAGGCTCTTCAATAATCAATGCAGGTGTATTCACTCCTCCTACACCTTTTCCTGTAAGTAGGGGTGATCCGGCAGGCACACGCGTCGCCTCCCTAAGAAGGAATGGAATTCCATCCTTTGCAGCATCGCTGCAAAAGAGAGACGCGAATTCCATGAGCAGCTTTTTCTCCTCTAGCCGCGCCTCAATGAACACCGTTAATTCCGGCGCAGGTGAACCGGGCTGAGCAATCATTAATGTGGTCTGACGCAAAAGGCCATTAATTGCCTCTAAAGCAAGCACATCCATTTGATTTAAAGCCTCCTCTACACCAAAGTCGCCGGCATACCCGATGCGTTCCCCCTTTCGCGCTCCACCCGGGCTCTCCCTATCACTCATATAAAAACAGTTTTCCACGAGTACATTGCAGAGACGATCCAGAAGCGGGAGGAAGCGCCGCGAGAGGTCATACTGCGCATAGCAAAACGCAGCAAAGTTTGCATCGCTGCAAAACTCCACGAGACTCTCCAAAAGAAGCTCCCGCCTTTCGTACAACTCTAGCACCTGAGACGCGCTCAGGTGAAGCGCAGGACCATTGGGGAGTGGGGGTACCGCTGCTGCCGCCACCCGGGGGGAAGCTACATTTCCCGGCGATGTTTGCCCTGTGCGGAGGTCCTCCGTGATGCGCATAATTGGGTCAAGATGCAGAGCCTTGATAAATGAAAAAGTCTGTGGCACCACTCGCATGGAGGCCGTTTTCACAACAATATGTACTGTTCGAAGTATCTGAGAGAGAACAATGACGTTCTCTGTGTTCACCCCATTAGCCAATAGAGCACGGCAAAGATCGTGCTGAACACCGTAAAGAAGGTCCTCCCATCCAGCCTCACAGAGGTAGTCCTTCACTACAAAGAGCATCGCTTGCACCAACCACAACCCTTCAAGTTGTACAACCGCGACCTTCGACGGCCCCTTTGTGTCAGAGCGCGGATTCGACTTAGTAGAGTCTTCCTCCTCGTCGACGCCATTAATGAGACTACAAATGTACCGTAGCATAAATGTTCCGCTCAGTCCTAACTCCTCCTCCATCCTCCCGCTATCGTCCAGTTTTGTGTTAATTCGTTTGTGTTCCACGACAAAAGTATAAAGAGACGATGCAATAGACTTCATTGCCTGTTCCGCCGTTCGACGAAGGAGCGGACTAGTCCCAGGGTGGGTTGCCAGTGTGTAGGCGCGACGCACCATATCAACGTAAAGGCGTTCAGGCAACGCGCTCGCAGAGGGATGACTCGCACAGCTCACGCACAATTGAAGCCGCCTGGCAAGCACCACTTCATACGTGGTGCTGTCAGCGAGTTCACCCTTTCTGGTACGAGTTGAGAAGATCACCTTCTTGAGGCCATCCTTCGTAATAAAAGTGCATCGGAGATCGATGAGGTTAGACAGGGACGTCAATGCGACGCCAACTACTGTTTCATTCATCTCACTACTTGAACAGAGGTCGCAGAATGGCTGGAGAATCCTCTCCTCGCTGATGTGGCGCACCAGAGTTGGTGTCATAACTTGACGCTGGAGCGCCTTGAGCTGAAGAAGAAGCGGGTGCTCCGCTACATACCCCGCGTCGAGGAATCGTGCCTTGGCACCGAATCTCCCACTGGAGCGGATAGTAACGAGGAGGTTATGGATCTGATTGGCGAGGACCAATCGGTCCTGGCCCCAGCGCTCTTCGCGCACTTCACTGCCGGCTCTGGAGAGCCGGACATAACTTCCACTCCTGGACGCAGCATCCTTAGTCATGCTCATTGTTGAAGGAGTTTGGTATCGCTGCTACTAATCTGTGTATATATATATATCTATATACGTATGTGTGTAATCGTCAGCACAGCCGAATTTGCTGTTCCTCCTTCACTTCTCCCAATAATTCTACCAGAATAATCATAATGATAATAATAAGGGAGCAAAAATAGCAAAAAAAAAATCAGAAGCAATAAACACGAAATCAGAGACTGTTTGTTGCAGCAGCGGTGGTGGTGGGTGAGCCAGACAATTTGTCATGATGCAGGTCAGCCCTCACACCTGGAGACACTTTCTCCCAACGTCTGTCTCAAAAATGCACCTGTAACTTGAAAAGAGAAACCACAATTTTGTTTCCGTTGCATTTCTTCTTCTTTTTTTTTTCTTCTTCTTTGTTTTAATAGGAACAGGGGATGGGTGAGTTATTTATGCAGGCACAAGAGAGGTAAAGCCAAGAATAAGAAAAAAGTCAAGATGGGGGAATGACTTGTGCAAAGTACGAACGAAAGTCAACGCCTTTTTAAACACATTTCTTTCCATTATTCAGGCTTGTATCCATATCGCTGCATCAAGTGAGCGAGGACGCGTTCGATGGGGATTTCATTCTCGTACGGCAAAAATACAGCCGCCTCCAAATCATTACCAAATTGTTGCACCACAAACGCACGCGAGAGCATCTCTGGAGGCACATCTTTATTCAGATGACTGAGATAATCACGCGACTGGAGTAGATGCGCACGCTTCGCGAAGGGGTAACAGAACTCTCCCCATCCAATGCCTCCGCGCTGACGCACATCTAGTGACTTTTTCCATTCGTTGAAGTGACCAACATTACGGAGAGGTTCGCCGTGCGTCCACTGATACAAGATGTCAATCTGCTCGTCACTGAGGTCGCCGACCACCTTGGGATTGAGTGCCACCCACACACTACGCAATCCTTCCAGTTCAAAGACCGTCAGCCCATCGCACAATGGGGCATCTGGGCAGTTCTCTGCAGCCTCCTGCCTCACTACTGTGAGAAACTCATTCTGGTCCGCAATGAAACGGCCAGACGCGAACCCATAGAACAACCTGTAAAGTGCCTCGGGGGAGAGGGCACCAGATGCCTCAGCAAACTCCTCCAACTTTTGATATTGAAGGCGCTGGAGGTCCAAAACACCCTGAGCCTTGTACGCTTCATCAGGAGTTAACTGACGCGGGTCCATTCGCAGTGTGACAAAGAACGGGAAGTGAAGCGACATGAGTTCGTCGTAAGTCATGGGTACATGTGTCTCCACCAACGTTTGGTACTCTGGGTCGAGTTTTTCCCTGAACATTTTCCGAAGGAAGCGGCTCGCTCGTTTTCCCACCAACGCGTTGTCAGTTTTATCAGCAATCACATGGAAAATGCGGCGCGCCTCCTTCGCCTCTGCGAAGGTAAAAGGTAAGATTGGTGCTGCAGGGTCGTTGCGATAGGCGTGCCGCCGCCTTCGAATTCGCGACAGATGGGAAAATCGAATTGCAAACACAATGTTCAGTACTGCCGAACTAATCAGTAGGATGCCAGCCATGAGTGTGGACACGCAAATCGGTACAGAAGCATTCGCAACGTCGTCCATAAAAGGATCCTCACACGGATTTACATACATATTGCTTTTGCGGTTATTAGGGCAGTACGAGGCATTTGCTTCAAGACAGCTCACGTAGAATCCACTACATTTCAAGGAATGCTGCGTTTTGTCCACAACATCCGGTGAGTCCCGCACACTTATCATCCAGCGGTACGCTACGTAAGCGATTAAACCATCTGTGTCCCGTCTCATATACGTCCAAGCCAAAAACACACCGATCCCCATGAAACCCAGTCCAAGGGTGATTAGCAAAACAGCACAACCAACGGCAAGAGCATAATAGCGAAAGAGCACAGCCACCAAGTTCACAGGCGCAGCAATGAAAATAATGGCCCCAACAATCACACAAGGAATGAACAGCTGCCGCCATAATAGAACATGTGTCTCAGCATATTCCACAGTTAGTACCAAAATGTAAATAGAGAAGGCCAGTACAACGATGGAAACCATTTGAAGAACCGCACAGAGCAGATCGTCCATAAAAAGTGTAGTGAGGACTTCGTGTGGGCGATTGAAGTAGCAATAATAGTAGAGAACAAGGATGAGAGTCAGAACCACAAAGGTGACACCACCACAGACGGAACCAGCAATTACATTATTGCCTGATCTCTGCCCCTCCTCTTGGTACGTCACCCACTCAATGTTTTCTTCATGCGGAGTAACATTGACGGCACAACTAGGTCCGCTGCATGACGTGCATGCACTAAACGAAGCACATTCCATATTTTTACATAGGTCCCCTCCTTGAACAATAAGTTGAAACGTTGTTGTTCTCCTGAATGATTCCTGACGTTTAGACCGAGCAACGTACGGCGAAACATCTTCAATCATGGCACTCACCGTTGTCGGAAATTTCCACGTCGACAACGTACTTCCAGGCACCAAAAGGGTCCCTGCACTGCCTTCAGACGCGGCAATAGCAGTTCCACTTTCGTCCACCCACTTCACCACTACACCAGCTTGCGCACCGATTTCTCCAACGGTTAGTTCAACACCTTTAGAGATATTGACGTGTACCGTGTGTTCCTCCCACGGACAGCGCGTGGCGGCAAGGGAAAGACCGGCTCCTTTGGTAAAAAGTGCAAGTGTTACCTGCTCCTTGCAGACAGCACACATGCTACTGACGGAGGAATCACGCATCATGCAACCAAAATCTGTGGGGCGGTAGTAGTTGTTGAAGAAGCAGCCCAGTTTCGGCGTCGTGTCGACCAGTCCTTGGTCCATCCAGTGGCCCCACTCCAAACGAGCCTGCTCAACAGTTGCAACACAGTTCGGCACACGCACATCACCCTTCTCTTCCACACCACGACTGTACTCGCTGACGAGACTGGCAACAGCTTTGCTCAACTCACGTACAAGAAATAATGGCATAAATGATGGCTTATTTGTGAAGATGGCCAAAGATCTTCCACCCGCACTGCTCACTTCCGTGGGTTCGTTTACCAGCACCACCACCAGGTCACGGACAGGAGCAGCAGCCGCCAGCGCAAATACCGCGCTGAGGTTGCAACTAATAACCGAAGGATCGGGTGTGCCAAATGCACATCCCAAGTTGTTCTCCACAAAACTTGGGCCACAGTCTTTCATGTTCTTACACAGATGATTCGTGCCATGCGGACGGCTAGCGCCGGAGTGGTTAGAGGGCCGAAATACAGAATACATATTTAACAGCGCCGCGTACCGCCCCCAAGGATCTGATGAGACACTCTTTACCTTGTTATGCAGAGCAGCTACACAAGTTCTGACGTCACTGTCAAAGCGGCTAGCCTCCTCGCTGCTGTATCCAGAAGAAAGAAATGTTATGGATCGCGTTGTACCATCGCGCGAGGCTCGCTGCACAACGTCATAATTTAACGCAGCATCTGTCCCACTGCATATGTTCGTGTCACTTGTAAAAAGCAGCCCTACAAGCAACCACAATAACATTAGAAAACGCATCAGAAGAATCGCTTTTCTTTTTGTTTTTGGAACCGCTTTCAAGGAAGCAAGACGAAAACAAAATAAGCAATAGCAGATAAAACACCAAGCGACCCATTGAGAATTCAGAGAAATGCTTTATTGATACATCTGCATAAAAAAAAAAAGAAATGTCAATGAACGAAGAAAGGCGAACGAGAAATAAGAAAAATTCACTCCGCAATAGTTTTCCTTGCGGCATCCAGCAGGAAGCAAATACAGACAGATACATTTAATCCCCCCCTCCTCATCTTCCTACCACCTCTGCTCTTCATACAATTGTTTTAATCCGCTTCAGAATCCTGAAACTGAAAAAACACACTGATCACTTCTCCGACGGCCATACCCCCTGGATTCCACTGCAGAATAAAGCTGGCGCCTTCCCGGAGCACCTCTGGGTGGTAGAGAAACCTAAAGCTTGCTATACCCCCTTTGTCCAGTGTTTCCAGCTCTGTGGAGAGAGAAGGAATAATTTTCACAGCCTGTCGGAGATTGCCCGTATAGAGTATAGGCTGTAGTTGACGTGTCATACCCTGTGAAAGCACCTTGATATGCGCTTTGAACCCCCATGACACCTGTACTGAGCTAGGAATTAACAGTTTGCCTTTTTGTGTCATGTCCACACTGCTAGGGAGCTCAGAGAGAGCAAACGTGGCGTCGTCAGACTGCTGAACACGAGTGACATGTGACCCTTCCACGTGTATGCCTTGAATCGTAACAGGATAGAATTTCCCTACAGCATCAGGCCCAATGTTACAGTGGCACCCCAATTCGACGCAACCCTTTGCGACATGTCCACGAACAACAGGTCCCACACCGCGGACGAAGAAACATCCGTCAAGGAGAACCTCAAACTTATGGTCTGGTGTCGCTGGCATCTCACCTAATGGGAGAGACGAGAGGAATTTCCTAAATATTTCCACACCAGAGCCCTTCGAGGAAGAAACACGCAATACAGGAACTTGCTTCGACTTCCTCCACGACTCCTGGAATCTATCAACATCGTCAACATCACCCAAAATGACCGAACTGCAACCGATAGTCGAAAGCTGCGCCACCAATTCTAGTAGAAATATGTCTAGTTCAAAATCGAGAACAGTATCTATTTTTGTTACAACGACAAAGAATGGGAACCGCATAGCACGGCAAACTTGTGCGTATCGCGTCACCTCTTCTGCCGGTTGCTCAACAGAAACGCATATACCGGTGAAGTTGGGGCGACGGCTCATTAAGCCAAAGAGCATCCGCTTTGTCACGTCGCCTCCAAGGTCCATCATCGTGAGGAAACGCGATGGACGTTCAGGAGCACCCAACGGACACTTAGAGGATCCCTTTTCCACCTCTGTGTTATCTATGGAATAGGCACGTGTCACTATGGAGGTGGTCTTTCCCGTATCGATCTCGTGCTTGTGATTGAATAACAGTTGGCGCACACTGCCAGCCCCGTCATCTAAGAGTTCTGTGAGCAGCACGCCCATAAGCGTAGACTTCCCGCTCCCAGCTGCCCCGCAGAAGGCGACCCTGCCATCCTGCTGCTTCGCCTGTCGGCGCGTCACAAGAACCTCACCGCACCACAGCGGCGTCGGCTCAGCCTGAACCATGAACTTCTGCAATACAGTAGCATCAAGGACGAGTGTCTTTGCCATTCGCTTAAGTGTCTCCACGGACTCTTCATAGTCGACCAGCGGGAGGCCCTTCGGTGAACCGTTGTTAGAGACACCGAGCTCGTAGAGACACTGACCGTTACCCTCTCCCACGCGAAACCGCATTTGTGTCACGAGGTGTTCGAAACGACTGGGCGTGATGCCCGTGAGACGCCACTTGTACTCCACATCACCGTCATCGTCCTCCTCTGCAAGGCAACCGCAGCCTTCTGGCATGGACAACACTACCTTCGCCAGTCGCCGATCGTGATCGAATGATGCTGCGGCACGCCTCTCAAGGGCCTGCTCCCTCGAATCTTCTGTCGATGGCAGAAGTTGCTGTTCCATCTCATCTGGATTGTCGGGTATTGGAAGCATATATGGGAAAGCAAAGCCCTCTTCTTGTGTGAATGGCGACTACCGCGGCTCGACGCGTTCGACACCCCTATACGAAATCGCACACCTAGTCTCGCTTGCCAGTGTCAACGCTGAATGGGCAAACGTGCAACAAAACAAAGGAAAAAAAAAAGAAACAATGTTGAAATCTAAGAAGAAAGCAAAACAGAAATAAAATAAAACCACTGAGAGTGAAAGGAAACACATTTTATTCGCACGCAGACGGCAGTGAGTCATGTCTCACTTCCCAGCGCTGTCGCACGTCGAAAAGATGTGCAAATAACAACAACACAGGGAAATAATAAATATACAGTACACAGGAGAGTGAGTGCATGTCTAACGACGGAGCGTGACGTCGTCCCCACTCCAACCTCATCTTCTCCTTCACCCCCATAGAGCTTTTACTCGGGCACTCTGTAAGGAGACCCCAGTAACGCGGTGCGATACCGCTGGCAGATGGCAGCAAACAATTTGCATATCACCTCGCGCTCATTAAAGAGTGGCCTGCCTTCTAACGCCTCACGGGTGATTGCCGCGGCCACACCGTTGCCCAATAAATCGCGCGCCATTAGATACACATCCGTCAAAATATTTGTGGAGTGCGTTAGGAGAGGGTCCGGCGTGGCAGATGCTTCTCGGTGATTTCGGAGCAACGTTTCCATCAGCGAAAGCTGCGCTTGAAGGGCTTCTACCACAAACGCCGATATCATATTCTCCCTTGGCTGCTGTAATGATGAACCTCTTTCGCCACTCAACGGGTGTGGTGTCACCTGATGGTTTACAGTGCGGTGGCTAACGGGAGAGAGCTGGGGTGTAACCTCCTCCTTAAAGGCCTCCAGGAGTGGCACAGACGTCACAGCAGAGTCACCGTAATTCTGCAGGGCGTGACGGTGATCATTCTGCTTCGGCCGCCCTTGCTGCTGCTGCTGCTGCCGCGGCGGCGGCGGCGGCGGCGGCGGAAGAGGCTGTTGTACTCCCAGAAAAGGAAAGGAATCCGTGGATCCAGATGGTTGCCCCGTCGATACTTCTCGGGGAGGACTAAAAGAGCACGAAAAGACCTGCGTGCTTTTTTCCACTTGAAGAACAGGATGAGAAGTTTGACTTCTCCACCAATCGCCACTTGTGTTGACACCTTTGTCTCTCCGGGATGCACGCTCGGCACGGTGCCACTCCTCTCTCTCATTTAGCTCCGACTTGAGTACCATGACACATCTCTCCAATGCCCACTTCTCGTCCTTTAACGTTCTCACCTCTGCCTCATATGATGTTCTTGCTGATCCTGCCTCCTCTTCAACTTCACGCACCCTTCCTAGCATTTGATTGCGTTGCTCCTCTGCAGCCTCTACTTGCGATTTCAAAATTCTTAGCTGGGAATTCTTCTCAAGAGCCTCACTTTGCGTTCCTGGATCAGAAGATGCATCGTTGCGTGTGTGAAGAAACTTTTCTTTAAGCTCCCTCATTTCTAGTCTTACTTCATCAGCATCAGCTTGACTCGTGAGAGCATTATGCTCCGCATTTCGCCGTTCCACATCGCTAGCGGCGTACAGCTCTTGCCATCGTCGGCACTCGGCACGGAGCTGTTGCAGTTCTACACACATCGCTTGTACATCGTAAGAAGCAGCAGGTGTAGAATTCGGCACGATCTCGCCTCCTCCAATGTGAGGCTTTGTGTGCGACCGCCAGTGTAGAATGTGCGACGTCTCCGCCGCGCAGGCGAGAACTTCGGTGTCGCGCACCGCACACAAGTCCCACACCATGCCAGCACCCATATCGTCGTCTAGCACCCCACGCTCCACAACCGCAAAGGCGCCCAAAGCCTCTTGCCACGCCCATAAGATGACTTCTCGCGTGCTGCTCACACTGCAGAGCCCGCGCCCCCACGGCACGTACGCCATAGCACAGACGGCACTGGCGTGCTCAAAGTACTGTCCGAGGACGGCCGCGCCCTTCGCTGACCAGAGAACGATGTCACCATTCTCCATCCCACTCGCCACAACGCATATACGCGGTGTTTGTGAAACCAGAGCCAAGGCCGTCACGGAGCATGAACCTGCCGTTCGAAGGGTGTAGGAAAGCTTTACATCCTCAGCAGTATCCATCAAATCCACAAGCAGAAGGGCACCACGGCTGCACCCAATCCAAACCGTGTTTTCCACCATGAGTACAGAAGACACATCTCCAAGCGGCGGTTCGGATAGATTGGCACTGCGATCAAAAATGTGACTGGCAACACATCGCCCTGCCTGCTCCTCAATATTGTCGGCGGTGGCTACATGACCAACGACAGGCCACACAAACACCTGCGGCATACCAAGTCCCACAACAGCGACAAGTGCATTGCCGTTCGTACGCAACTCCCTTATACCCGTGAAATGATCGATCTGCAAGTGGTACAAGAATTGCAAGTGGATGTATCGACCATCCCGGCGTCGAGCACGGTAACATTCAACAGCATTCGCACCGCCAAACCAGGCCAAAGAACTGTGTTGCACAGCATCCGGGGCGCTTGCAACACAGGTTACCTTCATTGGTCGTTTTCGCATCAGCAGAAAACTGGGATCCTGTGGCGACCACGCCGTGACACAGCCGTCTGGGTGCACCGCCATGAGAGCAAGCTCCTTGGTGTCAACAAGCTCCACTGGCGCAATCGAAATAACCGCATCTACCCACGGTGGTGAGGAGCCGACGCTAACTGCAGCCGTCATGCCTGCAGCAGTGGCAGGTGCCTATCGCCCTCTCCAAAATGGTTTTGTTTAGTACGAAGTGCAAACGTGCAAAGAGCAAAGAGAAAAGAAGACGGGGAAAAAATGTATACTGGTTCCACGTGAACTCCTGCCAACTACAAGAGTAACAAAGAGACTTTAATCATCATATGCATAGCATTCTTTTTTTTTGCTTTCAAAATAGAACAGTTAAAAATAAAAAATGATCAATCAGCTGCTCAGGCTCAAACTAATCTCACTCTCCACACTCCGCGCATTTTCTTAAACACGGCTGGGGTACAGGTAGACACGGATGCGCTTACCGATTGCCGACGCGGGAATGGAGGCACCGTTGAACTTCACACGGACGGAACCAGCACCACCATGTGGGCGCGTGACGCGGCCCCAGATGGCGCGGGTGTTGCTGCGGCGGGCGGGTGCCTTGCTCCAGCGCACACAGCGCTTCATCTTGTAGCCGTGGTAGACGTAGCAGACACGCTTGCCGACGTACCACTTGGCGTCCTCCTTCGTGTTGACGTTCTCGATGCGGACAATGGCGGTATTCTTGTTCTGTCCGTGGAGACCGCGGGTGTAGCCCGCCATCGTCGCCTTCATGTAAAGGCGGGGAGACTTGCGGTTGCGCTTCACCGTGGAGGTCTTCTTGGTCAGCTGCTGGATCTTCTTGCTGCGGTTCGCCGCGATGGAACCGGAGAAGCTCTTCGACAGGGCCATTCTTGATGAGGAGATTGGTGTAGTCGCGTAAGCCTAGCTGCTGGTGGACACAAAGAAAAAAATAGAAAAAGGATATATTCACGGCAAAAAATGTCAACCCGTCCCCCTATGCATCCGTGCATGTCCACACGTGCACACATAATTGCGTACGATGAATCACACACTGACTGTCGTCCCGCAGCGTTCCCGACAAAAGAGCGACAGGCTGATGCAGTTCGCGTCGCAACAGCACCAGAAACCACTTCTCACACCACAACAGCAACCACCTCTTTTCAACACGGGAAACCCCTATTTGCAGACAAGGATCGAAAAAGTATGCCCCGTCATCTCCTCCTCACCTCATCACTCACACAGGCGGCAGCAGTGACCCCTTCAGCATCGTCCCACACCCTTACTGGGTGCCTCTTCACGGCACACAGGGGAATAGCAGCGGCAGGAAAAGTTCGAGGTGGAACAGCAAGAAGAAGAGGAAGGTGTTGATGCTACCACAATTCGCGCCATGTTAGAGAAGGGAAAGGCAACCGATTGAGAAAAATGTTTTTTTGAGTTTATTTTTTTTTCTCCCCAGCTGCATTCCCTGTTGCTTGGTTTCTTTTTTCTTTGTTTTTCGTTTTCGTTGTTGTTTTCTCTCAGAATGTCTCTTTTCTAGCTGCTTTCGCTTGAGCCGTACCCGCGACCGGAGCAAGAGACCGCACCTGCACTGTGTGCCTCCCCGTCGGGCTCGAAGAGAGATGAGTACAACAGCGGCATTTTTTCACGCATATCCGACAGCTCCGCATCGTAGCGCTGCCTCTCCGGATCGCGAGTGCGATAGTGCTGATACATTGAGCGGAGGGAGAGACCCACGGCAAGCACGAGATACATCAGACCCGCATTCCGGCACGCCGCTGCCTTCTCGTCGAGATCCCACTCGTTAACCACCGCAACGACAGCGAAGGATGTGATGCGGATATGCATCAGCCATGCTATCAGGAACGCTGTCACCGCATTCAGGTAGGAGAAGGCTATATATGCATACACCTTGCCAGACATGGCTATGCGCACGCAGGGCATATCAAGAGAAGAGGAAAAGGAAAAGGTATTTCAAAACGGATATATAAAGAAGCTACAGTACCACCTTGGAGGGGAGAGGGGGGGGCAGGTTTCTATACGCGCTAATTGTTCATGAATGTATCATTGTTCCACAAGTGCAGGCACAATACTAGCCGCTGGTCGGTGGGGATATAAGCACGTTTAACCCATCGAACCGTCACAATGTCTTCATCAGAATCAACAGGACAACATTGAGAATGGCAAAGCAAACGTCTCACTCAGTCAAATAGAGTTACCCATGTTGAGGAAGGTGCACACCATAAAGAAGTACAACTAGCGTTCCATTAGCTCTTCGTCCTCTGAATCACTGTCCTTGTGCCCAAGAAGTCCCCTTTGATCTCTCGGTACTACTTTGCGGCAGTTTTGGTGCGCGTGAAACTGAAGTCGGCAAAACAGCAAGTGACAAGGACCCCGCACAGAGTCCCACAAAGGCGCTAACAACACCAGGACGAGGAACAGAACAAACCACAGTCCTGCACGCCGACACGCCATTGCCTTTAGACGCAAGTCCCACCCCTGCTCAAGCGCTGGAATGCGAAACACTACTAACTCCGTTGAATCCATCATCCACGCAAATAAAAACGCCAAAACTGCGTTCAGAACACAAAAGGCCAGAAGGGCTCCCCTCAAAAACGAAAATGCGCACCATCGACGTGACATTATCATCGAGCCCTGTCCCCGCCTATTTTTGAATAAAAAATGGGAAGAATAAGGATCCTAAACCCGATCATAGCACACGCTGAAAAAAGAGGCGCAGCCAAGCATCCAGCTTCACGTAGCCTTATTTGTAGTACAGACACGGGAGACTCTTATCTCTCACTCACCCCCTCCCTCACACACCACACAAACACACACACTCTCTCTCTTTCTCTCTCAACGCAACAAGTGGGCTTCATTTGCTAGCAGACACCAGATTGCGCTTGGGTGCAGCTCCTATGGCGTTGACACATATATACATGCAGAAGGTGGCGTCAAGCTCAGCCAGGAGGAGAGCACCTCCTCCACCATCTCTGAACGATGCCTCACGAATGCGCGCCACGCGCTTTCGTGCTCTGAATCGCAACAGGAAGCCCGCCGTAACGCCAATTCCGTCTCCCCGCCAACCCTCGACGAGGGGGGCTGTGCTCCCACACCAAACGCCGACACTGCTCCCTCCGCGGACTCCACGCGAAATCCAAAACCAGCCTCATCGGCCCATGCACCTGGAGCAGTCAACTGGATCTCATCCCCAATCTCCAGCTCGAGTGGTCCTGCATCATACAGTGCACTGTTTACCCGCACACAAAAGTCCCACGGGTGCCACGCCGGCATCAGCAAATAGGGAGGCCCAGTAGAGCGGGAACAGAGGATTACCCTGACGACCCGCTGCTCATCTCGCACCAACAATGCCTCATCACCATCGTTGTGCAGTGCGATGAGGCTCCAGTTGCCGAAACAGGAACGTATGGCGATACTGCCACTCGAACTTAGAGGCGGCATTCCCCAAAGATCAGTGACGGCTATGGAATAAATAAGGGAGAAGAGAAATATAAGGGAAAAAAGGAAGAAGAAGAACAAGAAGAGGAAGAGGAGGAAGAAGAGGAAAAAAATACGCAAAAACAAGAGAAAATTTCACCCAATAATCTACATGTGTTGCATCCTCCTTCCTCGACAAGGACTGTTTCTGCGGATGGGTAACACATACACGCCCACACACGCACTCTCACACACACTCATGTACATCCGTCACCAGAAGAGTGAGCCTCACGCCCTTCTCCATCGCCTTGCATTACATACACCTCGGTCATAGTGGGTTGCGTTATACAAGCACAAGCAAACACACATACAACAACAAAAGCAAGCAAAATGCACAGACTCGTACTTTTACAGAGGCATTCAGTGCGTCACGGAGAGATGTTCGTGCCTCACGGCAGTGCTACCTTTTCCACTGGGCAGCTGCTCCCCCGAAATCTGCGTACTGGAGAAACGCCCCCGTACCTCTCTGGTCTGAAAACGCTCTACCTGGCCCCTGAAAAACCGTGATGACTGTGGTATGGGCGTGGGTTTGAACGGTACAAGGGCACCGAAGGGCTTCGGTAGACTCAGACCGTCGTCAGGAATGTAGGCGTTTGGTCGCTGCTCCGCTGTTGTCACCAACGCCATGGATGACGCCGTTGCCTCTGTTTCTTCCCCTTTCCGCCGCCGAAGCATATCAGCATAACGTTGTTTGCTTTGTGCCTCTCGCAAGTACCGTACCTCCGCTTCGGCGAACGGTGCCTCGCCCTGTTTCATCAGGCGCTCTGCCTCCTCAACGACGGCTTCTAGCCGCTGCACATCTTGCTGTAGTTGAATCGCCGATGCTTGAAAAACGGAAAGCTCAGAAACGGTCGCCATCATTTGGCGCGTCTTGGCCCGGATGCTGCTGTGGTGAGCATTCACCTGCTTCGCAAGTGCCAACGTAAATTCACGCCCGGTCTTGGCCTGTTCACTAAGTCGCGTTTTCAGCTCCGTAACCTCTTCCAGAATGAGGTCCTTTTCTCGAATGCGCTCATTGATCGCGTTGACACGCTCTTCCAGTTCCTGGTAGCGTTTCTGCAGGTGCAAAAACTCATCAGAGGGGCCTTCGGCACTGCCACGGACGTTAGCCGCAATCGCTGGTGGTGTCGTGCTGCTGCCGTGCAGCTTCCCAACCGCCTCCTCAGTGGGGAATTCCCCTCCTATTGTCGTGCGTTTGATGAGTCGCCAGCGGTGCGGGTTCTTTGGATTTGTCAGGTCGTTCTCAAGCACTTCAACCTTCCACCGTTCGTCGTCCGTTTCATCTACTATTTTCGCCAGTTGCTCCTCTAGCTCCTTCACCTTGGGAACAGATCTCCGCAACAAATCCACCTCACGGCGAAGATCGGCTAGTTTAATCTGCAGTGCATTGATCTCTGTGGCGCGGGCGTTGTCCATGAGGACGCCGTCACGGATGGTTTTCTCCTGTGCATTCACACGCTCATACAGAACACACAGCTCGTCGTTACGGTCAAGAAGTTGGACACCGGTGTAGTTTCGACTGTCAATGACGTCACGGTAGGTGTTTTTAATACCCTCCATGTCCTCTTCGAGAGCGGCAATCTGTCCATTAACTCGTCGCACTTGATTCTTGGTGTTTCGCTCCTCATCTGACACCTTTTCCAAGTTCTTGCGTTGCCTATTTTTCTCCATGCGTAGATTCTTACAGTTCTGTCGTAGTTCCTGCACTTGGCGCTTCTTCTTCATCAGTTCTGTTTCCTTCAAAGCAGATTCGCGGCATAGCACAATAAGCTCATTTTCGAGGATCATCTTCTTCTCAGACATCTCAGTCATCTTCTGTGTCACGGCCTGAATCTGCGCAGCTTTGTGACTGCGCTCACGCTTAATGTTCTGAAAGACCTCCGTAATGGAGTTTAAACGCTGCTCCAACTCGTCCCGCCGCTTGCGAACCTCATTCACATACATTTCCTTCATCCGCAGCTCACTCTTTCCCATACTGATTCGACTGTCCTCACGCGCGCAGTCACGGTTAAGTTCCTGTCTACGCACTGTCAGCGCTGCTGTTTCACGACGCTTTACCTCTTCCTGAAGCGCACGCTCTGTGATTTCACTCTTTAGCGACGCGATGTCTCCACTGACTGCCTCTGCCTTCGTAATGAATTCCTTTTCACGTCCTTGCTCTTTGAGGAAGGCGCGGCTACGCTGCTCTGCGTCCCGCTGAGCATCTTCTAGGCGCTGCACGTTCCGTTTGCGTGAGGCTTGGACGCGTTCTATATCTTTCTTCNCCCCCGCCATACTGTCTTTGATTTCCTGTTGCTCCTTCAAAATATTGGCGACGGCATGCTCCAGCTCAGTGTGCTCTACACCGGCGCGATCCATTTTCTGGCGCACATGTTCCACATTCTCCATCTCCGTGTCTCTGGCAATGTGTGTGGTCTTGATGAGTTGGTCTAATTGCGCGATTCGTTGCTGGTATCCCTGGCACGCCTCTAGCTCCATCTCCAGTGAAGTGTTCAGTGTGGCCAGCGTGACACGTTTGGAGTCGATCTGAGACTTTAGTTTCTGCAATGCAGACTGTGCCTGCGCGTAGTCTGTACTTCGTGTGTTTCTCTTCAGCTCAAGTTTTGCAATGATGTCTGCTTGAACCTGCAGTTTCTCATCGAGTGAATTCAGTTCAATCTGTGCGGCCAGATAACTCTTCACGACCATCTCTGTTTGTCTGAGGGCGCGCTCGGGGGCTTTCTCGACGTTCGCCAGTTGCCGCTCTGCATCCGCCATGGTTGTGTTCCAATGCACCAGCTGCTCCTTGCACTCCGCCTCCTGTGCGAGTATCTCATCACGCTTGGTCCCGATCGCTTGCATCTGTGCTACCATTTCATTGATCTCCCTCCCCATCGAAGATATCTCCGACTGGAGAGCCTCCATGCGGGGCCGCAACCGCGCCTCCTCAGCAGCGAGGGCATCCTCGCGCTCGAGCAGCATGGTGTGCTTCCTCCGGTCAAACTCCAGAGCCTCCACCTGCAGAATGCTCTCACGCTCCTGGGCATCAGAGAGCTCCGCCTCGGCCTCCAGCAACTGCTTCTTCAGTCGCTGTATCTCCGCATCGTCCTCCTGCGCGACGTCGCCGCGCGCAACAATGCGCTCTTTCTCAAGGTCCAGCTCCTTCCGCAGCTGGCGCGCACGCTTCAGTAAAAAGTTGTCGCGCTTGTACACCACAAGCACGCGCGTATGAAGCTCCTTGAACTTTTGCTTCAGGTACTCCGCGCGCTCCTCAATGAGGCGCCCCTCCTCCACAAGCGTGCTGAGCACCACAACAGCAGACGAGTGCGATACATCCGTGGCGTCGCCCAACAGCTGCGCCGCGTCAGTCATCGCACAGAAGCGCAGATGTCTCCCTTAACAAGAAGCACGCGCTGAATAGAGGGGACTCACTTCCACCCTCGCTGCAACTGAAAATAGCTTACAGGTAAAACAAAAAACAAAGGGAAGACGCACAACAAGGGGGAACAAAAGATAAATTAAGAACATAGCTGATTCGATAACACATCGATCAACGAGGCACATCAAAAAAAAAAAAATGCAGCAATAGCGCTACTACACTGTCAAGCACTATAGACTTGTAGGCTCGCAATGACATTTGGTTTAGCAGCGGTTCGTTTCGCATAAGTGAATTACGTTGATGTACGCCTGAGTGTGCGCTCCAACGCTACGTGGTGGGCCTCTTCGCATCGCACATAGGACGTTGCTTGCACAATGTGAGGGACACGTGCACGGGGATTCCTTTCCCAAGCGCGACTGTTCCTGCGGCACCGATACGATTCTCATTCAGGTTCAAAAAAAACGTCGGGAGCCGACGCGACGTGGTCTCCTGGAAAGTGACACTTTCCCTGTCATCCGGCACACGTGGCCGAGGACGTTGGCACAGCAACGGCGCGATATCAATCGCACCACTGTCATCTAACGAGATGCCCTTGAGAATCACGGCACGAATTGTGTTGTTGCAACGCAGGGAATGAAGAAGAAACAAAGCCCCACGATTGCCGACTCGGCGATTGTAACTCAAGTCCAACACCTCAAGAGATGATGCTGCCCCACCCGACGGAGTGTTACTGCGCAGATCTAGTAGCTGTGTCAGTGTCGCCACGTCGTCTTCGTCTAGATCGTTACGAGACAAGTCAAGAAGGCGCAGTGTGCCTCGGTGGTGGTGCAACCTCGGGAAAAAGAGGTGTAGTCCAGTCGCACGATCACATCCTATCTGTAGACGAAGATGTCGTAAAGGCTTCTTCATGAAAGAACTATCAAAGTATGTCGCAGCTCGTTCACACTCCTTTGAACTGAATTGACACTTCACAACTTCAAGGACATCCGACCGTGGCAAAGCGTGCATGATTCGGTATATCGGATCAGACATCAGCAGCTGAGAAGCCTGAGCATCTTTCGCTCGTACACCACGTGCAGAGTCCTTACCATCGCAAGTGTATGTCTCCACACCACAAGAAGAATCAGCATCAACAGTAACAGGAGGAGGAAGAGGAGGGGGGTGAGGAAGAGCTTTATGTTGGTTAGTCACCTCAGGAGATTCCTGCACATCATCTCTCTCAGGAGGACGTTTTCTACCAACACGGCGTCTTTCCTTCTCCCTTCCGGGGTTCTGGTCGTTCTTTTCCTTGTGCCAGCTCATGTTGCACGACAGCGGTCGGGAAATGTTCTTTCACCAACACACAGCAGTGGAAACAACCTAAACTAACAGACAAACCATAGAAAAAAGACAAGCATCATACTAACGTTGAGAAGCAAATAAAATGGTAAACAATAGCAGCAAAGAGTTGTATGTAAACAAAAGAATCAAGAAAAAGGGTCATACCAATATCACTGAGTGTTTCCTAGTATTACTCTCCCACGTCAACACAAGGTTAGTCTCTTTCGTCTGTAGCGTTGTTTTGCTTCGTTTCTTGTATCTCGGCCCAATTTCCTCTCATCACTGTTCCCCACCGTGATATGGGTGAACCACAGGAACCTTACGGATCGACGTTACCAGAACCAAGCTATCATCCGGCTCTGAAGCGCCGGTGTGGTGCAGCATGCCATTCCCGCCACTGTCGCCTTCACCTTCAGTCTCACCAAGAGGCACGCGTGAGTTTCGCTGATATGATATATCTACCACCCACGCACACACTGCGCCATCCGTGTGAGCAGTGACAAAACGTGTACCATTGGTATTCCATGAAAGTTCTGTCACTTCCTCCATACTAGAACTTGTCTTCGCACATAGTAGCAACTGCTGCTGCGACGCCGCGTTTGTCTGTGTACAAACCAAAACGCCTAATCGTGCGCGCCTGAAAAAAAGAAGTGTTACCCGGTAAGATGTCACCACGGCGAGGATAAAGAAGCTGCGACCCGCCCCTGGTGACCACGACACCTGTAGCACACGTCGCCCACGGCCGGAAAGTGGATCAGACGTGTAAGCCACTTCACCAAGGCATCTACCTTCACTGGACACATTAAAAACGCGCAAAACACCTTCCTCGTCTCCCAACGCTAGAAAACTGCCTGTTTCGTCCCATCCAACACACGTGGAGCCTCTAACGACGCGATTGCGGCTCTTCAGCGACGTAGTCATAGCACCGTTGCCTTCTTCTAATGAATATGTGCTGTAAGGAGACCACGTGCCATCCTCGTTAGCAGTCGTTTGCGCGAATATTAGCACCTTCCCCTTGGTGCATGCACACGCCATCGTGAAGTGAACAGAAAACGCTACCGAACTGCAGTCCTGTACAGTTATCACCTCGTCCAGCGACCAGTGACCATGCGAGAGGCGATAAAGACGCACTTGCTTACCTCGGCAAACACACGCTAAGTACATGCCATGCTGCCATGGTGCCCAGGCGAGGTGAGTACAAGGGAATCGCAGACGGTCGATCAGCACCGTGACACCTGCTGGATCCCACCTCGCCTGATCTTCTTCTAACGTTGTGGTGTTTTTTATAGGCATATTGCGCGTCGACGTCACAAAAACTTCATTTTTTGACGTAGATATAGCAAGTAGCTTGCTGTGATTGTTGTGCTCCATCGCTAGAATAACGGCATCATCAGCCGTGAAGTGGAAGAGAGGCCGCATCGACCCAGATATCGGGCAAATAGCTGATGACGCCATAGCACAAGGCGCTTCTGCAGCCGATGCGCCATGCCTTCTCGGTGGCGCTTCCAGTGAATGCACAAGGGTCACTGGCAAAGCAGTTGTACTATGGAATTCGGTCTTCATGCAAGCCACACCTAATTAATGTAACGCTCTTCTCTGTCAAACTGATGGACTAAAGACCACCCTCCCCGAGCCATACTGTAAGTGTAAAGCAAAAGCAGACGAAAGCGCACAGAGACAAATAAAATAAGCGAAAAGAACAATAACCAACACAATATTTATTAAGTTCATCCTCACCTCACAACCCCCGTGCTGAGGGAGAGAGAGAGAGAGAGTTGCAGAGGAATTGGAAAAGGTTGAGGTGAGTGTGTGTGCATGTGAGGGGGATGAAACAGCACTCGCACGAGACGTCACCAGTGCGTGTCGGCGACACAAAACAAACAAGAAAGAGGTTCCCCCTCGACTTCGCCTTTCAGCAGCCGGAACATGGAAAAGTCGAAGATGAAGACTAAACACACATCTAAAATGGGCGCAGCGCCGAAGAGAGACAGAGAGAGAGAGAGAGTACGAGAACAAGACAGAGAAAGATAAAAAGAAAGCTGGGAGCATCATTATCCCCGTTGTTTTAAACACACCCAAAGGTGATGTAGAATGAAGACGAAGCCGCAGAAAATGGAGTAGAAATACATCATATTCGCGTCTCTCCCACTCTCTCTCTCTCTCTCCCTCTCTGTCTCTCTCTCTCTCTCTCTCTCTCCCACTCCCCTTCTAAAGAATTCCGCCGCCCTCGATGTTACTGCAGTGGCTTTGGTTTCTGTTTCGCTTTGCCACTTGGGTATGCGCATCTTCCCGCTTTTTTTTTCATTTCATCCCGCATTTTCTTTCTTTTCTTACGCTTTCCTTCTTCTTGATATTTCCTTTTCGTTTTTTTTTTGGTTTATTTCGTTTTTCGTTGTATTTTTCATTCTGTGTGTATTTGTAATGTTATGCCCCGTGCGGCTTGGGCAGTCCGGAGGGAAAGAGAGACATACATCACAGTTCGGCCCCACCACTTTTTCGCAAACACTGCCTCGGCTAATGGGTAGTGCAACGACATGTCTTGCCCAAGACAAAGAGGTAAAGGAAGCAGGACACAACACTCAATCCCCCTCACCATCTACGCTCTCTCTCTCTCTTTCTCTCTCTCTCTCTCTCTTTCTCTCTCTCTCTCTCTCTCTGGGCATACGAACGAAGTGAATGGGAAAGCAAACAAGAAACGGACGCACCCTTTCGCAGCCGCACCTCCCACCTCCTCCCGCCCCTTTCCCAATTCACTCTTTCGTTTCTGTCAGTGTTTTGTGGTTCTCATGCCTCCTCACTTCACCCAATTTCTCTCCGGCATTTCCTCTGTTCCTTTAGTTGCCGTTTCCGCCTCCCCACTCTCTCTTACACGTGTATCATCCCGTTCTTCCGTTCTGGTGGCCATGCATCCGTCGTAGTCGTTGCTGAACTCCCCACATTGTGCCTTTCCAGCACAACAGCAAGTCACCGCGCACGTATATGCGGCTTCAACAAGGAAGAGAAAACGGGTAAACCACACTGCAGCGACGGAGCAGGTACACCGCATATGCAGATATATATATATATATATCAGCACAAGGCGTGAGAAAAAACCCAAGACCAAAAGGGAGGTAGCCGACCAGGTGAAGGGCAAAGAAAAGAAGAAAAAAAGGAAACAAGAAACAACACAGAAATAATACATTCACCTGTTTCATAGGCGTGTCTTGTGAGATGAAGAAGCTGCACTTTCGGGTCTCCACTCACTACCATTAGGTCGTTTCGCCCTCATATTGATGTAGACGCATGTAACATTATCCGTGCTCCCTTGTCGCAGGGCCTCTTGGCACAACCTATCGGTGATCTCCTGCGGCGGCACTCCCTCCGCCGCGAGCTG